AAGAATGACGCAGGCACACGCACCTAACCCATAAAGCAGAGAGATCCTAGCGTCCGGCAACCGCTGTGGCCCACCAACAGAATGGGGCAGCTCCTCCTTCTTTCTATGAGCGGTGCATAGCGCCGAATTACTCGATATTTCCATTCTAGAACTGTCAACAGGACAAAAACGTGTATAGAATTGTCCCAAAAAATACCCCAGTGTACTACCGAACGTGCAGCCGCCGCCATATTCAAATAAAGAACGCAACCACGCCCTCTCAATCCCCGGATATACAGGGTGCGTGTGATCCAGGCAGCGGCGAAAGCGCGTCGCAAGTTGTGCCAAATATAGGGCACTCTAACCAGGATCTAATTAATTCAACAAAGGTGCTACAGTATAGTTTGTAACATTGCAGTCACTCGGGGACGCCGTGTCGAAGACTGGATGATCTCCCGCCCAGTCTTGTTATACCAGTCGTGATCGGGCTGGTCGATTTAGGGAGAAAACAACCTGTGGTGGTAACGCAGGAGCTGGGGGCCGATTGGTTGCGTTCCGGCTGAATGCAGTAATATCAACTGTACATCTAGCCATCTTGCCAGAGAGTACCCCGCTACTTCTGCGCGCTCCGGAAATATGGATATGCCGCACTACGCTCCCATATTTGCAACTTTTGCCCAGCGGTACCGCAAAAAATTCTGAGGACAAGCTTCATTTTATCTCTTTGTTTCTCTCTTCTTCTCATCGGATTCCACTGAACGTCGTGTTACTCTTCACGTACATTCCTTATCTCTGGGACGGAGTAGGCGTGGCATTTGGATATGGCATAGGGTAGGCTACTCATGGAATATTTCCATTTGTTACCTTGTTCTATGCCTAAGGCCGAAGACGTGAGTACAAGTGTCTCAGAATGAAAATATCTCACGAAAAGCCTAACTGCCGCCACCTTCAATCCACAAACGCAGCCACGCCAACCGTGTCTCAGGGATTTTAAGTGTACCTCGAAGGCACGCACGTCCCGCGTTCAGAAATGGTGAGCTGCGCGGCTAAAATACTAATGGCAAGATGGTAGCTAACATAAAAGTGAAGAAAAAGCAGAAGAAACCTGCCGAAATGCCCCATATACAACCTCATGCTGAACCGCGCTTGTATGTGAACAGGTCTAAGGAAGTGGGTGGTCGGACGAGTTCCCACTTGTTTATGCCACCTCTTTCTCCTTATCCACTCACTTCTGCCAGTCACAATGGAGAGAGTCAGTAATATAACAACAGCACCATGAGGTGGCGGTTAAAAATGAAACTTGGGCGTTGGGCGTTGCTGCGGTCAGTGGGCGGGGCGGTGGTCTCGTCACAAGCGAGGCGCGCTTTCTT